ACAATTGGAAAAAGTTTTGTAAAGCTAATAGAAAATTTTATTCTTGCGACCGAAAATTGGAAATAAAAGGTACCTCTTGTAAAAGGAAGGAAGTGACAAAATAATTTATACTTCTTAATAGTAACATGATGAAAGAGATATTCCTGATGAAAGAATATTCCCATTTCACCCTTTAGAGACCTTCGAGATAATTACTTATACGAACTCAATAATGACATGTTCAGTGATCTTGAAGAACTCCGAGAATTGTGAGTAAAATGCTTGTTTCATTTTTTGAAATGTTTTTTTCACCGTACTTACCTTTGATTTAAAAGATGTAATCGTGATAACTAGCAGTAGTAGAAGTATTTAACTTATATCTACGATATAGAGCCAAGAAAAATTCGAAACAATATTTGAAATCTTTTATTTGTGTTACATTTCAATAATGGCAGGTACCTGCAGCAAAACAAAATTGAAGAGCTACCTGAGGGCGTTTTTGATTCGCTTTCTAATTTGCAAATCCTGTAAGTATCTCTACTGCCTACTCTTTCTTAAACTTATCAAAATCGTCAATTACTTATAAGGTTTGAAAGGGACTGTATGTGTTTAAAGGTATCATCATGCGCTTAAACGAAACCTTGTGAACTGGAAATTGAAGAGATAAAAGAAATTGAAATTGCTTTACTTTTAAACTCAAACTTCTGTTCTGATAATCTAGGCCATAACCACTTAACTCCTTACAGCGCTTCTCTATATAGTTTATTAATAATGGTAATAGGACTGAATGAATTGCACGAAACGAAGTCCGGTTACCAATCAATCATAACCATTGCAATTTCCGAAAAAAGATACATTTATTTAAATTTTAGAAAATATCTCCAGTTAATACATTTTCTATAGTATTAAATTCCCCCACTTTTTTGAAAATTACTCAGTTTTGTAAGGTAAGTGGTTATTGCTATGGTTATTGTAATTAGTCTTGTGATTGGTGGATGTAGCTAAGTGAACGTCGTATGTTTGGCTGCTTCAACCAACTGTCCGAGTACTACTCTTCAGAATAATTAGAGAAAACCAAGCAGCTGATGCACCAATCACATAAGAGGAAATTGTAATGGTTATGATCGATAGGATAATATTTTGTTTTCAACGTAATGCGAGTTTGTTTCCAGTTCTTTTTTTCTCTGTAATAGTGCATATCTTCTTTTTTAGGAATATGGGACTCAACAGGATTAAAAAGCTTCCAAGAAGAATATTTGCAAACTTGATGACCCTACAGCAACTGTAAGAACAGCGAAATAATCTTTCGTTTTGATTGAAGAATATTTTAGGGCCGGGACACAAATTTTTTAATTCTTTCGGCCGAAATTGGACGGCGCTCCTAGGAGGAAGAACGTTCAATTTGAAGGGGGGAGGCTGGTGTCCGATGATGTTTTCTATAAACCAAATTTGTTTTTACTTTGGCTTAATTTCATACGGCTATTGCGACGCTACCTACAAAAGTATATGGTGACAGACCAACTCCCCTTCCACTTACTTAAGAGGCTTCCTCTGGTTTTCACACGCACGTTTTCTTCACACCGGCTTGCAGTTCTTAAGTACTTTCTTTAGCCTTGTATCCACGTAGGTAAATTTTATTTTTCTTCTGAGTGTCAGTCATTCACAAAGTTGCCACACGAATAGCCAGAAGCCAGTTAATGAGGAGATTTAGCACTTCGTTTACGAACGGGGGGCTAATTTCTAATTTGCCTCATAGACCTGTAAAAGGGTGGGGAGGGAGGGTCATCATAAGACCGCGTGTATTTACTCTCATATCTTTTTTAATTGTTTCTTGTTGTACTTGAAGGTCGTAACTAATATATATTTAATAAATTATCATTCCTCAGGGACCTTGCTCATAACTCCATCAGAGAATTATCAAATGAGTCCCTCTTCAACTTGACTTCACTTGTGCGAATGTAAGTTGGAAATGTTTTTTAGTGCATTTGTTTTGAAGTTCTTGGGCAGCCAGATGAACTTGCTGTGTTGATTCTGTTAAAACTAGCAGATAACTTTGATATTTATTTTGCTGGTGTAAGAAAAATTTAAAATAGGCGTGGAAAGCGCGCAGATTGTGAGGATTCATAGCTAAATGGAGTGTAATGACTGCATTTGGCTTATTCTGTGATTCATTTATTAAGCGTTTTACCTCTGGTCTCTTTCAGTGATTTCAATTGGAATCAGATAAAGGATCTTCCAGATGGCATATTTGACAACCTTAAGTGTCTGAGTTATATGTGAGTTTATCAGCGACTTTGGATATTTTAGCGCCACTTTGTTGCATTGTTAAACAGCACGCTTTGGACGGGCCTAAGCCCTCTCCCTCCTCAAAATTGAATGAATATGTGAGACAGCCTAATAGCTAATTTGCTGGACTCCAGGGCAGGAGGTCTGGGATCGAGACATGGCCAGATTAATTTGTTGCGTTCTTGGGCAAAACATTTGACTCCCACGGTGCCTATCCCCACCCAGTAGAATAAATGGGTACTTGTCAATTGTCAGGGAAGCCTGATGAAATGCTGGAGGTAACCATGCGATGGACTAATATCCCAACTAGGGGGAGGAGTGATACTCTTATCGCTTCATGCTAAGGAAACCAGAGTAAGTTCAGATGAGTGGGCCACTCGGCTCGACTGCTCTATGGTTATGGGTTCAAATCCCGTACGGGCCTGAATTTTTTTCAGGTCCTATTTTCAAGTACTCGTTTCAGTAGTGCTCTTAGCTGCGAGGATCTCTTAATTTAATCTCTTCACTGCAGTGCAAATATATGAATTTCATATATTTAAAATCATCATGCTCTATGGTATTTGAGCATCTCACAATGATAATAAACATTTTTCTTTCTTCCTTCTTGTTTCTTACATGAGAGTAAAACTCTGTGTGAGCCATTTGGGTTTGCTTTGATTCCTTTTCAGAAATCTGCATAGCAACACGCTGTCCATCTTGCGACCAGAAGTTTTTAGAAATCTCAATCGACTGAGAACATTGTAAGTTCCGAGATCTGATGCTCCTTTGTCCTTCTATTTTGCACAAGAGTACTCAGTTAGAATAAGTGAGGAGCTGTTTGGTAAATAACTTGTTTACATATCAAATAGTGATGTAAGATTTTCAAAGGATGTCTCCAAATATGAACAATTTGTTGAAATGGAAAAAAAATTATTCGTGGGTTTTAAGTAGAAACCAATTTATTTGCATCCGTGTAATTCACATGCTTATAATCCCTCTCGTGCACTCGAATTTGTAACATTACTGGATGATATGAAAAATACCTCAAGGGAAAAGGTTACTTTTACACATTTTTCTGTTTTTTGCCCTCTAGTTCGACTTCTTTTGCATAGAATCAGAAATGGTGCATAGAACAACTGCTCTTTCCCTAAATTGAATATTGAAAATCTTTCAGGGATCTGTCGTATAACAAGATCAAGGAATTACCAGTTGAAATATTTCATGGAACAGTTTTGCTATCACACTTGTAAGTCTGTATACCACATTCGATGGATTCGGTTCAATAAAGTGTCAAAATTAAATTGGGATTGCTTTGTTTTTACTTTATTTCTCTCTCTCCTATTGGTACAGAAAACTTGCGCCACTCTCTAAACCAATTAGATACAATACTACAACCAATTACAACTTAGTTGCCCGCGTTTTAAACAGTTTGGTTGGTTTTACCTTCAACTGAGTTCTCATTGGCTGTTAAAGTTACTCTCCTTTCTTCTAAATGGCCGTTGTGTTGACTTTGGTTTTGAATTTACGTCATTCATCGAAAAGCGCTCTAACAATTTCTGTCAGTAATGCGTTTTCTCATCCAATTGCGCTAAAAGTAATTGGCTGAAGTAGGTAATAGAGTTCAGTTCATGAGTATTGCTTTGTTTCGTTTTCCTCTTAAGACAGTTTAGAATTTTACGGCGTAGATGGTTTTTTCATAGCATATTTAAGAGGGCTATCCTTAATATTTTTTTATTATAGGGAACTGAGTGGAAACTCGATACAAACTTTACAGGAAAACATTTTTGAGGAGGTGGCTAACCTGCAAACATTGTGAGTGGTTTTTTTTGCAACGACATCCAATTTGTTTTTCCACATTATATATAAAAACTTTGCAAATAATGAAATAATAATAATAATAATAATATTGGAAATAACAATAATAATGATAATAATAACAATAATGAGAAAGCAAAATTGAATAAAATAACGGTAATCATGAAAAGTTTGCAAGAAATTGTAAAAATAATTAAAGGATGTAGCCAAGTTTCTAGCTGCTTTATATTCATCGTCACATTTGTATACATTTTTTTGGTCCAATATCTTTTCTAATTAATATATTAGGAAAAAACAAAAGCCAAAAAAATAAAGTTAATAAAAACCAAACGCAATAAAAAAATTGTTGCGGTACAAAAAACGTAACTAAGCCGAGTTTGAACTTAGGACTCCGTAAGTGATTGTGCGACAGAATATTTATTTATCATAAATATCACTTTTTTACCTGCTAGAAGGCTTCAAAGCAATAAAATTGCGCACATCCCGAGGGACAGCTTTAAGAATCTTAAAAGATTGAGAAATTTGTAAGTATGATTCTTGATATGGTTATCAACATGAAGAGCCGGTCGGGTAAGGCGACAAAACCAGCTCTTAACTGGTAAATTCTGTGTATTTTTCTTGAGACGTTACAAATAGTCAACTGATGCCTTCATTCTGAGCTGCAAAGAACTAGATACTGAGCTTGACGATACGCAACAAGCTGGGCCTGCTCTCTCCTGGTTTCAGATATTTCCAAGTTATGAAAATAGATGTGTCTGCCACAAGCCATCAGTTAAAATGATCTCCAACTAGAGAAGCTCTTGATTGCTGACCAACTCTCCTTTTTAGCACCTTATGTGGTATATAGAGAACAACTTGGAGAATCTACCTACTGATTTTATAGTATACAGGGTTATATAGCGCTAAGTAGATGACATTGTATTTGTATTTTTAGGCATTTGTCAAATAACAACATCTCTTTTATTCCGGATGGCCTTCTTCGAAATTGCCCTAAGCTCAAGACATTGTGAGTGCACAAAGAGTTCTTTTATGAAGGGAATTTCATCAAAACATTCCTTTGTTTATTGTATTATCATTACGAAAATACTAAGACAGGTGCATGGAATTGTATCGTATGGCTTACCATACTTCGTCAAAAATAAATCCATAGAAATTTGAGCGGTTTGATGGAGGCCTTGCTCACGCCGTATGGTAAAAGGTGTTTAACCTTGCTACCTTTATCTTTTTTCTTTAAGTGATGTTCATTACTAAATGTTGTCCTGTTTGATTTCATCTCAAAAAATAGAGAGTTGGGTGACAACTACTTAACGGCCATTCCAGACCCAATCTCAAGTAACCTTTCGTCAATACTGATCTTGTGAGTAAACTGAGTTCCCCCTTCCCACTACCCTAAGCTTGTTGTCTGAAAAAGCGATCGATTTATTTTTCATTTAACTGTGAATATTTGTTCCATTTGGCAACTTCAACAAATAAACGCTTAGATACTCGTGCTTCTACCATTAAATTTAAGCTTTGTAACCTTTTTAAGGCGATGACGTAGTTTCAATAGGTGTGAATGCTTTTCCCAGTAAATTCTCTCTCTCCATTGTTTCTTGAAAATTCTCCATTTTTCTTCATGTTTTTATTTAAGGCAATCCTTGGGCTTACTGCTCTTATACTTAAAATTCATGTCCTCATGTACATTAGATATACTAACTAATCCATTTCATTTGATTAGTGAGGAATTGAAGTAATGAATATTCTTGTTTAATGAGTGTTTATTCACGGAGATCTGTTGTTGGCAGAGCACTGGAAAACAATCAATTTACAGCCATTCCTGAAAACATTGGGGCAATGAAGAACCTACTGCAATTGTGAGTTACTGTCGATTATGCTTTCCCTTCATAAAGTACGTAAAAGTGAACTTGAACGAGAACTTGAAGTGATAGAGGTCGTGATGAATATCCTCAAAGTTGTTTCCGTGATGTTAGCGGTGAAAGTGATCCTGATTTCGATCCCGATCTTTGAGTCGTGAAGGTGATCTGATCGTCACTGCAGTGGTCCTCGGCGAACGACCGCCAAGTTCAGCCTCAAAGAATTCATTTTTGACTTTATCTGAGCCTCCCGAGTTTATTGTTAGGACAGCGGTCTAAATTATGTAAAGGTAGAGCTCAGCAATTCTATGAAAGGAAGAGGATTGGTTGGGAAAAGTACGACAGAAATTCTAAAATTTTGCAAAACAGTATCTCTTATTGTGTTACTGTAAATTTTTTTTTAGTAAACATGAATATAAAATATAATTTTATGAAATCATACGATGTTTGAAATCATTCTTTAGAGACATGTCAAGAAACAAGATTGACCAAATTCCTGAGAGATTGTTAGGCAATCTCAATAGACTCAAACTACTGTGAGTATTAGTATGCAACAGCTTTGTTTACAGTTCATGATTTCATCGAGTCTAAAGCAAATTTCATTTGCCCTTATTGCAAATTTCTGTAAAAAGAAAAGGTTGAGATGAAAAATGAAGGTCACAAACAACCGTCTTGCAGATGGTGGAGAAGTTATTCAACTCATACTTAATTTTAACTCAATCAGTTTTGTCTAGTGTCGAAGTGGTTTCCTTAGACTCAACCATGAAACAAATCGAGTCGACAATGTTTTCCTACAATTATTTAACGGCCTTGCAATTTCCTCATGTTTTGTTACAGTGGCAAAATTGTTCACTTTTTGCCTTACACTATGTTACAGGTCATTGCCACAAAATAATATCAGTTCCATATCAAGTCAGACTTTCTCCAATCTCACCGATCTCCAGTATTTGTAAGTTAAATATTATGATTATCACTTTTTTTTATTTCAAATCTGGAATGACTTCAATTCCTAAAGATCACGTTGATGTTTTCAACTTTCAGATTATTGAATGATAATCGCCTTACCCACATTCCAAATCGAGCCTTTAAAAGTTTACAGAAGCTTAAAGTCTTGTAAGTTTAAGACATCATTACTATTTTCAATACATCTTGTATTTCTCGATTTTTCATTATTTAACGTGTGTACTTTCTCCAGAATGCTTTCAGAAAACAAAATAGAGCTCATTGGATCTAAGGCTTTCGTTTTAAGCAATTCAAGTATGAGAATGTAAGTTTTGACAAATTTCTTATTTCATATCTATCCATCCACCAATATACATCATCTGTCCTTACATTCATTCATCTATCCCTCCATATTTCCTTGCATTTTCCTATATATCCTTCCCTCCATCTATCCGTCAGCCCGTCTGTCTGTTAATCAAGACCATTGATTTATTTATTTTACCATCAATTCTCTTTTCCACCCATCCTTCAATTTATCTCTTACCTTATAATTTCAGGTGGCCTTTTCTCAAACATTGAAGTGATCTTAGGACATTCTGGTTTTGTTCCAGTTTACTATAAATCAAAATTTTATTTACATCATTACAATTTAATGTTTTAGAAACAAATTTTTTCAATCTCTTTTTTAGATATCTGATTCGCACAGCAATGAAAGCAGTACATCTAGAGTCATTTGAGGGCATCGAGGGCCTTTCCACCAAAATGCAAGTATTAAAAACAATCCTTAATGCACAGCTTGCAGAAAAAAAAAACAAAAACTTTAAGACATGAAGACTACTTCAATATTTTCAAAGCTTTGACAGTACCTGTCTTCCTTTTGGCAGAAGCATGAATGAGGGAGAGATAGGGTCGCTGAATTTCAACCAAGAGAATGGTTCAGTGCAATGCAGAGTGCAACTGTAAGTGTTCTGTTAGCTTTGACAATTTCTCACTAGAAGACGGTGGCAAACAGTCATTTGACATGAACAAAGGTTCAGTTTACCAGAGATGCCAAGGTGACCTTGGAAGTAAATATCTGTCCTTCTGTCTTCCTGTCTGTCTGTCACTCTAGCTGAATGGCTAGCTGGCTCTCTTCCTGACTGAAAAATGCAACACTTTCATACCGAAATGCAAATTCGCTGTTTACAGTATACCAGCAACCTTACTGGAGTGAGCATTTATGCAGCTCAAAGGTTATTGAAACGGAAGCCTTAAGATAACATCATGCTACGTGGATGATTTTTCCCTCGAGGCAGACCTCATTTTAGTAAAAAGGAACTAATTTCAGTGATACGTAATTGCTATTCTCTTGCTTATCTCCCTTAAATATCAAGAGGCGTTGGACAAAGCGATGAAGAGTATATAGAGTTCGATGACATAGACGAAGACATGAAGGGTGTGTTACGGAGGGTTTTGGAGCAATCCGGTTTTGCACAGTGGTCACAAGATAGCTCCAAATTTTTGCCTTGCCCTGCTGGAACATTTGTTAAATCTGCAGGTTCCACGAGTTGTTCAGAATGTCCTCCAGGTAAGAGTGTGATCGATTACGTTCCTTTTTTAATTGAGAAAAAGATCCATTGTAAGAATTAAATCAAAACTATGCAGACTATTTCTTGAGAGTTTCCTTCGGAATTTGCTACAGTAAAAAAATCATTATTCGTTAATGTTGCCATTAGTTTTTATATGATAAGCTGAAATACGCACACACTTTTGATTGGTTCCCTACTTATAATCTATTGAAGGACGGACGTATAGATAACATCACCCTCAACAATCGTTCACCTTCTTTAGTATATAAACAAATAGATTCCATATTTCCGTTGGTCTGTTCAGGAGTAGATAAAATTTGGTAAGGACATCAGGGCTACACTCGGCTGCGCCTCGTGTGCCACTTTTTTGTTCTAACCACATTTTGACTTCAGCTGTGATCTATTACTGAACAGATGCACGACAACATGGAATCTATTTTCTAAATATTGTGTATCTCTAAAATAGTACGTTACATTAACTAGCGAATTTAACGCACCCTTCACCTGTAGAATACATGTAGTGATCTCAAGGTTAGCCTGCTGGACGCCGGGTTAAAATGCCTGAACCTGACTTTTAATGTATTAAAAGAAGCGGAAGCATTAAAGTTTAACACCTGAATAGAGAGTTAAGGCTCTAAATTGCTTTTTTTTTTCTTTTCATGACTTCTTGTTTCAGGAGGCTTTTTTTCCGATACCTTAGCATACGTCAGCGACCAGTGTAAAAGATGCCCGAACGGGACATTTGTTTCACTCGATAAAAAGCCAGGAAGGCGAGCATTGGATTGTGTCGCATGCCCCCAAGGTAGCAGAAGCTAAAAGATATGCAACTGTCGATATATATGTAACAACGTCTACTATAAAATTTCAACCCTAACCCAAACAAGATCAAACTTTTCATACGAAGAAAGGTTTTTGCAGAAGAATTCTTCACCTAGCATTAACAGTCAGTTAATTAGATTCTTTTTTCGATGCTTCCTTTTTTTCAGTTAGCTAAGACAAAAATATGATCACTGATACATGAACGCCACTCCGAGATTAACTTGTTTAGCCAGCCAACTCAGATACAGTTAAAATGGTTCAGGCATCTATGCATCTCTGATGTCATCTTATAACGATCAAACTCTTCTTTACAGGAACGGATACAAACTCTTTTGCCGGATTCCGTGCTTGTAAATGTCTACAAGGATTTTATCGTACCCACCTGTTTAAGGGCTGTAAGGCTTGTCAAAAAGAAGGTTTCCTGTGTATAGACGACTACGTCACACTCAAACCAGGATTTTGGTGGAGGTGGTATAATGATGTGTACAAAGGCATGTACCAGAACTTTACTCTCAACCTGCGGTCTTCGAAGCCTTCCATCGAAAATAACGAAGTTGAGTATAGTTTTGATCTACCGTTAGCCTACGAATGCCCAAGAAAGGAATCTTGCCTCGGTGGTCTGGATTCGACGTGCAAACAAGGCTACGAGGGCCCGCTTTGCGAGGTTTGCAGCCCTGGGTATCACAAACGACTTCAGACTTGTAAGAAGTGTCCATCAAAGTCTTGGATGGGAGCACAGTTAGCCATCACCATCGCGTTGTTGCTGATTCTAGTTGTGGTCATCGTATGGACAAGTGTAAAGAAGAACAGACAGAGCAACAACCAGCGTCCGCTGGTCGACATCATTTTGGCTAGGCTGAAGATAATCATAGGATTTTATCAAGTTACATTTGGACTACTGGATGCTTTTTCATTCATTTCATGGCCAGACTCCTTGTCTGTTATTGCACGGTATTCCGAAATTCTTCAATTTAATGTCCTTCAAATGGCGCCAATGCACTGCCTTTTACCGCAACTTAAGATAGACGCGTTTGGGAGTTTGTTTGCCATTTTGGCCATCAACATTGGGGCCATTGTATTTGCGGTGGTAGCTTATTGGGTGCGAAAGTTTATGATCCTCAGGAACGACCAGCTTGAAGATGACGATAAATCCAAACAAGTTTCTCAGACTAAAGAACTTGTCTACAGAAATTTGTTTTTCTTCTTATTCGTGACCTACCTTAGCACTTGTTCTAAGACTGCAAATGTTCTCCCACTCTCCTGCCGGGAGCTCTGTTTTACTGACAAAGGTTACGGCTGCTTTACTTATCTCAAATCTGATTTCACAGTTGAGTGTCGCAGTCCAAGGTACAAGCGCTTGGTCAACGTTGCATATTTTGCCGTTGTATACATTTTACTTATCCCTTTGGTTTCTTACCTAGTCCTTTGGAAGAAACACAAAAAAGTAAAGGTTACGGAAAACGAATCAAGAGAACAACAAAGATACATCAGTGAACTTGCAGCCGGACTGAGATTTCTTTCCGAGAATTACACCGGCACCTCTTGGTATTGGGAACTCGTCGAGATGGTGCGTAAAGTCATCTTAACATCTGGATTGATCCTCATAGGAGGAGAAAGCAGGGCTTATGTTGGCCTGGCATGTGTGATTTCGGGACTGTATGGTATTTTATTTGCCTATGTAAGCCCAGTTGAAGACCCATTTGAAAATAAAATGATGATTATAACCCTTGCAGTTACGTTCGTAAACCTAGGCATCGGCGCCGTCAGTAAGATCCCCAAGGAGAATGTTCCAGCTTCAATTGATCCATATGTTGACACTGTTACGTTCAATTTGTTAGTGGTTGGAGCCAATACGCTGGTGATTGGTTTACTAGTCGGTAAGTTAACGCACTTACAAAGCTAACCTATTCTACAAGTCCCATAAGGTTAGGAAGTTCACTTATCAATAATAAAGTTTAGACGAAAGTTTTGTCACGAAACTTTCAACTCATTCTACCAATCGCATTTTTATCTCCAAAAGCGTACATAGAAGAACTGATCCAGTACCAGCACTCGGCATACCTTGGAAAATGCCGCGCATTGCAATATGTTGCCAAATTTCTTGATGAAAAATAATGCAAAGAAATTCTATAGTGAGATTGTTTGTGAGCAAAGAATTAGAAGCAGCTACATCCTCTACTTTAAAGGAAAAAGTTTTCAGGATGCATGGGATGCATAATAGTGTATTTCTATTACTCCATTCAGTGTCTCCGCGTAAAATGTACTCTTGTCAGGAAAATACTGAAGCTGCAAGAAATCTACCCAGGAAATTCCGAGATCGTCCCAAAAACTGTTTTCACATAATAACAGCGATTGCCATGTAACGCCCAATATTTCAAACTTCAATCCTTCGGTCAACACTTCAGCCAACGTTATTGCACCTTACTTATTTGTTTTGATTTGTTAAGTAAATGGTAAGCAATTTTCTCAAGAAAGTTTGTGTGGATCCATAAATATATGCTTTTTGCACCACAATTGTTTTTTTCAGTTCAGTACTCCGTCTACCTTTATAATTTTTTGAAAGAATGGCGCAAAAATCCCAAATGGTCCATGTCGTGTTGCTTGGCGATGCTTCTTCCTCTTAACGATTTACAAGGCGAACTCAGAGGGTTGGTGGGAAGGAACATGATGAGGCAGCAGCTTCAAAGTGGACGGATCGGGATGCCGTCCGTGACAGGAGCTGTCAAAGACAGTGGAGCTGTCGACTTCGCTCTTGAGGAAGGTGACGACGAAAGCCAAGATAGTCGGCGTCAACAGGACAACAGGCAGAGTGCGAATTCTTCTAGAAATTCCGGAAGTATTTCGATGAACGATCTTGGCATTTCCGCTTTGGTGGTTCATCCACCCCAAAACGGCAATGAGGCTCCATTGTAAAAAAAAATTAAATTAAAAAAATTCGGAAATACGGATTAGTACAGAATTACTGGGTAGATCACTGTTATAGGTTGTGAAATAAAAACAGTTGTTTCCGGAAATTTCTAGAATGCCTGGCCATGGTTTAAGGCGTATTAAATCTTGCCTCCCCCTCAACGCTAGAATTATGTTTTTCAATAGTTTCATTTTACCTATTTTTGACTATGGGGATATCATCTGGGGAGATCGCGGAAATGCGTCCTTAATGTCTGAGCTGCAAGTGTTGCAGAATAAGGCCGCTCGCCTCATTTTAGACTTACCTGTTTATTTTTCCGCAACTGAGGCCCTAAAGAGACTTGGCTGGAAACCATTACTGCGTCGTAGAAAAGAACACCATGCCATCTTTATGTACAAATTAATTAACAACCATTCATGTAATACTATTCCTGTCACATTTAATCGGGACTTTCATGGTTACAATACAAGATCGAGAAATGACGTTCGAAAATCCAGTGCCACAAGAAGATGGGGTCATTGGTCGTCAGTTAACTTTAGCGCAGATGTATGGAATGGTTTAGACATCTCACTAAGAAATGCAAACTCACTGCCTGCCTTCAAACGTGGCCTGTCTAAATTTAATTTTGAATTTTAATTTACCTTACTAGTATTACTCTTAGTTAATACTTTGTGATTAGTATTTTTAATTAGTTCTTAGATTTAGTTTTAGTTATTTGTTTTTTATTTGTAATTTATCTTTGTATTAGTATTTAATTTAAGAGGACCCTCCTGTAAACCACTTTTGTGACGCTGGCATCCTCATTAAAGATTATAGTATAGTATAATGTGGTTACTCGAACTTTCTGATGTCGAACCAAGAAATTGTCTGCAGCATTCTATTACGTTATGCACTCATGATTTAATCTACCAGAATACCATTTGTATTACGAAATAATTTCATTTGACCTACAGATAGAAAATCTACCGGAATAGTTGTGTTTTAGACTTCTGAAAAGATTTAGAACACGTTGTGGATGTATATAAGTACTTAGTCGTATGCGAGTAATAGCTGCTGCTGTCGGCAGAGATCGACTGTCTAGAAAGCTTTAATGAGAGTGAACTATTGTGCATCTCGAGGAGATTTGAAGACAACATTGAGTTGGTGTTAGTAGTGAACTGATTCAGTTATAGTTTGTACTGTGCTCAAGCAGGTTCTAAGTGGATTATTATTATATTGCTAAAAGTAGTCACTTTTTAATACGAATTATAACCTAGGACTTGTTGTCTAATAAAGTAGTCTGTAGGAATGTAGAATTCTTTCGCCAGTTAAATTATACCGTAACAATCCCGTTTATCAGACTCCTTGATGAGTCAATTTTGATGATTGTTGATGATTATTGGAATAATACATAGTAGCGGGCCATAGTCACATAACATTGTTGCTTAGTGTTTTTTCTTATGTAGACATTGTTTTATGTCGTTGTTCATTTTGCTGTCATTTATTCGGGGATAATTTTTAAATATCAAAAGAAGGCAAGAGATATTCTCTTAGATGATATTAATGATGGTAATAACAGTAACTTATGACAAGCTTAGTATCGACATGTAAAATGGAAAAACAAAATTCTTGCTTAAAAGGATAAAACTCTCCCGTCTTTGACTCAAAATAGCTTGGAAGGTACACTTCAGGTTTCAGTCGAAGAACATATAATACGATAGTAATTTCTGCTTAAAGTCACGTCTAAATTATGATATTCAATTTCTTGTTAACAAAAAAAATAAAATAAACAACAATAACAACATCAACCAAAAAATTGGACGTATCATGCTCGCCTTTATTTATTTAAGCATTATTCAAGTTGCTGAGTAACCTCTCCCTCCTTTAGGACTGGGTACAAGATCACGGAAGGAAATGTGTCAGGAAATATCTCTTCGTTGATTGCAGTGCTACTTGGTGGAGTCGAACCATGAAGTTCTACGTTCACTTTGATGGTCCTCCGGAGTTTAGCATGGTTTTTAGATGGAATAAAAGCAAAAAAGAAAAGCTGAAGCTAGTGATGGATATATTTTTTGAGGCTCTCAAGGCTAACCATGCATCTCTCTTCGAACTAAACCTCGAAAACTTGATACTCGTGAACACAAGGAAATCCACACTGTCTCTAGAGCAAGACGTCACGTCGGTCGTAAAAGACGGCATGGATTTATTTGTCGTTTTAAAACAACTTCCTGTGCCAAAGGAGAGACGAAGAATTGTTATGCACCCTCCAGTTTCTCTTGCTTCTAGTATTTCATCTGTTCATCAAAAGGGACCTGGGATGTTTGTCAAGAATGGCGAACCTACATGTACAAAGTCTTCGTCTGAAGTGGAGTTGAATGAATCGAAAATCAGTGAAAAAACTAAGACTAGTTTCTGCTTGAATGATCTGCGGAAAAAGATGGGTACTTTGAGAAATGCAGCTCGAATCTGTGCTGAAGCAGTTTCAGTGGATGAAGAAAATTCTTCTCCTCTGTCTTGCTTGGCTGAAATTTACCTTGAAGCTGGCCGTCCACAGATAGCTCTGGAGTACATTGAGCTAGCTATTCATGTTAACTCCACTGACTCGTCATTGTGCTTCATCCATGGAAATTGTTTGGCTGCGGTGGGAAAACTGGAAGAGGCATCTAATGCTTATGTGAAATACATGAGTCACTTGGAATCTCTTGGAGCTTCTCAACATGAAATTCATGATGTTCAAGCAGCTATTGCCAAGGTCTGTGCCAAGTCAGGGAACATTAAAATGGCTATAGATCTATTTTCAAATGTGCTAAAGGAAGATTCCACTCACATGGAGAGCTTGAAAGGATTTGCAATCCATACCGCTGGTACCAGTCAGGATGACTTACAGGAAGCGATAGTTATCTTGTTGTCACTACTGGTTCAATCTGGTGGCCAATACCAGCATGATGTTAGAAAAGAACTTGCTAATTTGATGAGTTCTCCAGGGGGAATGGGTGTGTTTGAAGATCAGCTAAGTGAAGTCTGGCGTACATCAGAATCACTTATGTTCATAGCTGACATTCTGCGTGAGTGGGGTGCCTTAAAGGAAACTTTGCAGCTTGTGCTTCGTGCATATGAGCTATCACCGCATGATCCAGGCATCTGCCTTTACCTTGTTCACACTTATGAAATCCTCAGCAAGCACAATGAAGCATTTTTAGAAGCCCGCTCTTTCTTGATTAGAAATGGCAACCTACAAATTGGAAGGGTTTCTTGCTCGTATTTCATACCAGTTCTACAGCTGATCACAGAAGAAATTTACCTCAACAACACCACACTGTGCATTCCTCCAGACTTTGAGAACCAGGAAAATATCGGGAAAGCTCTTGATTCTGAGTTTCAACAGCTGGGATTGTTGTTTACTCTTGTAAAGATACTCTTTGTAAAAGGTGCACTTAATTCAACAAAGGCTTTCATACCTGTTTTGGACAAACTACACAAGGATAGAGGGTTACATCTCACACTCCTACGTAATGAAGCTGCGTTTTTTTCTTGCATCAGCCTTGTGATGGAAGTGCCATTCTCTCCACTACCTCAAAACCCAGATTTCATTTACTTTGCTTCTGATAGCCACTGTATATCTCCTGCCTGGAGGACCATCAATTACCAGGAGAAACCACATGTCATTCATCCATTGCTTGCCACTGGTGTGAAAATTTGGCACATTAGAAAAGAAAGCTCCTTTTACCCCAAGTTTGCTCTCTTGAATGCATTGAAAGAAGTGCCAAATGATTCAACTGTTATTTTCAACATTGGAGAAATTGATTGCAGAGAGGGTCTGCTGAGGGCTGTTGACAAATGTAATTATGACTCTGTAGAAGAAGCGATTGAGACAATTGTCAGCATTTATATTGATTTTCTTAAAGAGCAGAATGAACGCCATGGCTTTGTAACTTTTGTTCATCCTATACTTCCTGTGCTGAAGGAGACACGAAATGTGGTGCTTCAGTTTAATGAGAAACTTAAAGAAGCTGTTGAAAGTTGCAGTGGACTGCAATGGCTAGAGCTCTTGGATGTTTTACTTGCAAAGCAAACTTGTGAATTCAACAGTGAGTATCATCTTGATGGAACTCATGTGCATCCAAAGTATGTTTCTCTTTTGGAAAAAGCCTTGAAAGACTCATTGAAAGATGTTTAATATACATGTATTGCAGGGCTTTGTTTTATGGGATTATTTAAACAAAGGTAAGCCATTGTTTAACAAAATGGTTCAGTATAAGGTTATGCCCCATTTTATACTGAATTTGAAATTACTGCATCCTGAGTGTATAATACACAAGGGTTTATTGAATGTGGTCGTCATGCCAACAATATCAAGTGCATTTATGTACTTAGAGTTTGTCAGGAGTTTGCTCGCTGTTAGTTTACCTCTGTAATGCCTAAAGTCAATGTCTCAGAATTTCTGAAATGTGTCAAAGTTTCTAAAGGGGAAATCATTATAAACACATGTTGAATTGTAAAAGAGTTAACTTTTGATTTCTAGTTTGAACTCAGAACTTTTAATGGAGAAGTATGCTCCCAAAACAAACTTATTTTAATCCCCACTATTAAAATTATTCAAGAAAGCAAGATGCTTGTCATGTTTTGAGATTCCAAAGAGTTACTTGGTTGAAAATGGCTTTCAAATTGCAAAAAGTTTGACCATGGACATGCCATTGTAACTCCTTAAGTACCTCCCTCAATCTAGGAGAATTAATGGGTATTAGGGAACTGTCAAGGAAACTGCATAAATTGTTCGAAGGTGACCTGGACAGCTGGCATCTCATCCAAGGGTAGTAGCTATACTTATATCCACTGCCATGGAAGTCAGGATGAGTTTTAGCAGAGTGGGCCTTTTGGCTTGTGTGTAGACTTTATCTTTACATACCCCATGCAATTATTTGACTCCCAGCCATTAACTTGGATAATTTGAGTCTTTGCTGCACTGACTGTAATTGTACCCAGGATATCTTGAACCAATGCTATCTTAAAATTTTACTCCTTCCAAGAAACCAAAAAAAAGTTTTCTCAACCGCTGTTGGAGATATGTGAATTATATCCATTAGAGCTTTGTGATAAAGTAATCATGATTATAAACCAGAGATGAAATATCTTTACATCGTTTTGAATGATTGTAACCACAAAAATGGAAATGTCTTTTTTAAAAACGTTTCCATTTCATTAGAGATCTTTTTTTTTTTGAGGTCACAAACAAAAAACGATTTACAATCAGAGATAGAAAGAGATATGCTTGTGACCAATGCCATTACATCTTATCACTTCTCACCATTTTCCATATCTCATCTTACGAATTTCCCCCATTATCATTTCTCTTCATATTACTCCCCAAGGTTGTTTTTGAGTTCTCTTGCTTATTTAAGCGATAAATGAAAACATTTTATACCAGTGGGACTTAAGATAATTTCTCCGCGTGACTGGGGTACGTTGTATTCAAATCGTGCAAACTGACCCAAGCGCGGGAAAACGCGAGTGGCCCAACGCAGCGCTTAAACTATGCCCATGCGCGAGGGTATCAATACTGGACGGCCGCGCGCCAATTTCCGCGCAGAATTTCAAAGTAAAACACAAGGAACAAACGCTGCTCGAAAAATTGAAACGTTCAAAGAAATATGTATCAGGAAACAAAAGTAAGGTAAAGGCGAACTCGACTTTTCGAACACAAAGCTCACTTAGGTACGGGTATCTTGTTGATTTAACACCATGTTTTAAGCTTGACCAAAAAAGTTGTATGCTTTCATAACATCATGACTTACTGGCTTGTGTTACTGTTTGTAATTCGCGTATGACTGCATGAACGCAGCCATTACAACGTTCGCACATACGTAGACGTTTGACCGCTGTGTTGGGTGACTTGGTCGTGCCTGGTTTTAGATTGCATCTAATTGGTTGAGAAGGTGGCGTGAGTCAATTTAGACCAATGAGATAACGTAGGAAAAAAAAACATTGAAATTCACGATCACGTTCACCACTCGATTGTAAAAATTTCTAGAAAAGTTTAGCTTCGATTCGTCCAATGGTGAAATTTTATCCTTTTCCCTTCGTGAGAGAAAACTCAAATATTAACAAAATCTGTCGTTTGAAGGGAAAGGGTGAAAGCAAAGAAGAGTCTTATATAGGTAAAGAGGCCACCCAATAGACTTAATCCCTGGTTTATTGTCTGATATCAGTAAATAGTCGTGGGAACCGCATTGAAGCGGAAACGTTTATACACGAAATTACTTACGGTCTCTTGAGTGAGAGTGATAAGGAGTTAACTTATGAACAAAGATTATAGGAATTAAGTCCATTTGCTTTGTTTGTTTTTGTTGCAGAAGTTTACAATCAAAATATATGACGTGCTCACATTTGAATTCGTCGCTTCGTGTCGCGGAGAAAAAATATTGGAGTCGCGTGCTTATCTAACTTGCAAATTGAACCCTACGGTACACCTCGGCAATTTTCTTTAGAAAAAAAAAGAATTGAAAAAAAAAAAAAAAAAAAAAAAAAAGCGAAGCACGTATCAGTTTTTGATATTGTACTAAAATGAAAAAAATTGTTTGACTTCCGCTGACACAGTTTGTTTGTATTATCTAAGCAAAGAGAGCCCTCAAACACTGCCTGCCAAATGCGCAGGGAAACAAAGCCAAAGAGACCGTACGTGCAATAGAGCAGATAATTTCTTTTGTCTCGAGTACAATAACGAGCTGCTTCATGAAGCTTTTGGAGTACAGAACAAACATAAATAAACTGCTTGTGGCGTGAGAACTGTTTCAGAAGGTTTCGTCGACCCAAGGTGAGCCAGTGTTATTGTCAGCGCTGCAGTTTTAGCGCCATAAACAGAGAGAGGAAAGGCATAAATTAATGGACTACATTGAAAATTTGGAAGAGCTCATGGGGAAGTTAGTTCACTTGAACGCAAGTAAGGTTGTTACATAATTAAAGGCTTGATCTATGCGATTCAACGTGATATGCAGCATTACCATCCTGGCATTTACCCTGTACATGTGTATAACATGAGCAACATGTGCCATTCTATGTTGATAACGTTTACAGAAAATTAAGAGAAGGACATAATTTCTACGTGACGAACCTAAAAACCTTGTGTTGTAAGCAGACGAAGTAAGATACTACCTCATTGGATTACTCTAAGTTCGTGGGATCAGAAAGAGATTACATAAATCTGCCTTCAATCTGATTGGTTCTGTTAGTTCAGTTAGTAGAGTCGTGGGAAAATGCGACAGGAAAAACAAACTGAATCAGCCATTAGAGCTTATTAAATGCGCATATATACACCTCCATCTCCCATTTTCCTGCAAGGTTCAAGCGCATTACGAACCAAGTGGATTGTGGTAATAGCCCTTTGATTTTGCTACCCAGTGTATTTGTATCTTTGGACAATTTGTGTGATTAAAAATATCGATTGCGACGAAGCGTATCTGTTACATGCCCTTGTAACGGAATGAACTGGTTTTATTATTGATAGAGATCATAGTTCAAGGAAGGCTCATTAATGGCTGAGAATCCTTTCGCTTATTTCCATTAGTGTTGCATTATTGGCACTTTATAAGAAAACAAATATCTATTTTTAGCAATCTAGGCTCTTTTGTACGGAGCTTTAAGGGCTTTAGCAAACATTCGCTTTGTTTTTTGGCATTTGATTGCAGATATGACTAATGTTGAAAATAACATCAAACTCCGACAGTTAAGCATTACGAATGACTATTCAGTTTACCGCCAAAAGTAGAAAAAAGATGAAGATTGATCGAAATAAAGAACCTTTTGCCATAAAGGTCCAGTGAAAGAGTCCTCCCAGATTTGTTACGTAGTTTTTGACTCGTCATCAAGGGCGGAGAGTAGAGCTCTATTTTGTTCTTTCTTAAAAACTTATAAAAGATGTAGCCGGGATAATTTGGTTTTATCAACTGAGTTGATAATGTAAATTGGCCACCGTTAAGATTCTCTAAGAATGTAGGCAATGCAGAACCCCGCTTGTGGACTGTTTATTTAAGAAAGAGAAAATCTATCATCGGGCCCCACTGGTTTAAAACTTGTTTTGCTGTCACCAGTGGCCCTTCACAATGGTTCCTTCGAAGAGGGTCTCCTCGGGGTGATGGCTTTAACGGCTAACGGTTAAAATTTTGGCCATTCTTTGACTGAAGGTCAAATCAAAATGACACAAAAGTCACATTTCAGAAAGGAAAAAGTTTTATGGTGAACTATTTTAAGGACAAAACTCTTAAATATTTTGATCGTTTTACGGCTAACATTTAATCCCATTGAGAACCCCGTTGAAGGCAATCAATCCAGCTTGCCATTTATCTCCCAAAAATCTTTTTTGCCTAGAGGTAGAATTCGTGTCTCATGGCGGAGCTTGCTGTTTGTAATGAAGAAATTGATTGAAGGTGGCCAAACTTGGAGGATTTGAAGGTTTAGCAGTGGAAAATGCAAATTATGTATAAAAATTGAAGGCTCTAAACAATGCAAGTACCGAAAGAAAATAGGGAAAGCCTACCTCATATGAGCTTTCAATTCCAAGCTAGTTACTCATTGACTTTGCCGACTCCAGGTCTCAACCAATTAAGCTAAGATTGATTCCTGATAGACCCTGGAAGTAGCGAAACGCAGCTGAAGCTCTTGACAAATTTCGAACATGTTTAAAGAAGTTAAAGCATAGTACAGTGTGCATCATTACAAATTTTTCTTAAACTTAGATGGGTCACTTGTAAACCTACCAAGAGTTTACTGCTTTCGGAGCAAAAAATACCTTTAATGTTCTTTCAGTCCGGCTCTTGACAATCGGCAGAAAAATTTAAGCTTTTTTAAGGTTTAAAAAAGAAAAACCACGCCGCTTTTCAATATTTCCAAGCGCTGCCGTTCTACTTTCCCGCGTGAGTGTGCAAAAGTTCGTGACATGCACAAACTTTTCGGAAAGTTGACAAGTGACCCCTGAATAAAGGGTGACTGTGCACTAAAGGTTCGCTTAACACAAGCTTGAAGCACGGTTCTCTAATGTTGATTCATTTTTTTTTCTCAGGGTAAAATTTTGAATGGAAACACCATAGCTTTTTTCCTCATCGAAATGGAATACTTAACAACAGCAAGAAGACTAGTTAACACAGTTGCCGACTGAATGGCAGAAAGAAAATCCTCAGCCACGAAACGCAAGAATAAGAATGTCTCACGTAAGTTATACTCCCTGTATCGCTATAGTAACAAAGTGTTTGAACAAGACAACAAAAAAGTTGCACGGGGGGGAGGGGGGCCGGGGGTTGATGGGGAGGTTACCATCCCTCTCCAAAGTCCCTCCTCCCCCACATCCCTCGTTGTTTTTCTTTTTCCAATCCTCTCATCCTTTTCGTTCGTCTCCACAAACTCTCTGCTGGAAAAAGAGTGGAAATAAAACTGCTTAGACGTTGGACGCAACTTGGCGCAAAAAAAAGTATCTTCTTTTTTCCTAACTCCATGATCAGGCTAAATTCTCATCGTAATATTGCATGGAATATCAGTGGACGCAGTTATATTTAGCAGTGAATTAAAATTCATTTACAAAGGTCAATCTTAACTCCACTGTGACGAG